GTTCCCGCAGAGACAGACACCTGCTGGTCTTTGAAGGAGCATGGGGGGAGCCTCGAAACAGTGAAATAGTAAAACAACACAGGAGTGATCATGGTGCACAAAGGGAACAGAGGTCGTCCACAGGTCAGAGTGTGCCCTTGTCACAGACACAACATCTGCACCTGCAAGCACAAGCACCTGCAATATAATAAAATAATCTATAAAGTAACAAATTTGGGTTGGGAGGGGGGGTTGATAACATGATAAAGGTACCTGAGCTGCCATTTCAGTGACTGACATCATGGCAGCAAGATTTAGTGTGCAACAGGCCCTTGATCTGTTCTTCCAAGATGAGGAGGTTGATAGTGAATTGGAGGATGTGTYAGAGCAGGAAGACAGCGTGGAAGAAAACTCTGATCACTGACTGATTATTGACTAGTTTATAATAAGCATTTTGTTATGTAATGTTTTGTGTTCTAAGTGGTAAATGTTGAATTAATATTGATAATTATGATTTCTTATGATATAGCAGTGAGGACAGCGTTTGATGGTTGCAATGATTAAACATGGTTATATTATTAATCCCAACAGTTCCAGAATGTCCATGCCATTTTCAAATTCAATACAATATGTTTAAATCATTATGGCTTTTATGTTTTTATGTCTTATGTAAAACAGGACATTATAATGTGTAATAGTAGATGTTTTTCTCCAAAAACGAATGTTGTAAAACTTAAAAAATACACTCTCCCTGCTCTCTGAAACATTTATTAAGGATTAATCATACATTTATTAATGAGACATGGGCTATTTAGACATTCTAAATAGATCTGTAGTTTAACATTTGGTATAGACACTTACTATGAGGGAATTCTTGGTCTGGGTCAAAATTGACCCGGACCATACTGTGAAGGCATTAAATATAAACAGTATGTAAGGGTTAAAGCTTCTCCTTGCTTTGTTGACGTCGCCGGGCTGGCCATGCATGCTTTTAGTGCATGTGAGCGTGCCCCACGGGTTAGCTCAGAGCCGCCGCTCTGCACTGCTCTCATATGGCGGTTACAGCTGATAACGCCGTCCTGAACGAGAGCCGTCATCACAGTAGCGTAGCGCCCAACCTCCGGTTCCCCCTCAGGTAGGCACTGCTAGTTCTGTCAGCACTTTTTGTTGTAGTTTGCACTGTTAGCATCGTTAGCTGTGTGCGAGCTGCCGGCTCACCTTTGCCATGTTGAGAGCCGTTGAGAGGCAATCGAAATGCTCCAAATCTCGTATCTTGCACCTTTAACAGGAGGACGAGGTAATGTTGTCATATTAGTTTTTCATCCTGTACTCATCACATCTATTGCACTTCTGGCCATCCTTGGAGAGGGTTCCCTTCTCATTTGCTTTCCCTGAGGTTTCCTTCTGTTGTTTTCCCCCTTTAAGGTTTTTTTGGTGGAAAATGTTCCTATTCCCATGTGAGGGTCCAAGGACAGTGTTGTATGTTGGACAGATTTGAAATCCCTCTGAGGCAAATTTGAGATTAGTGATATTGGGCTATACAAATAAAATTGAATTCAATTGAATTATGGTAGCAGTGACGGAATGAAGAGGTAGGAAAGGAGTGTAGAAACAGAAAACGAAACAACCAGAAGCAAACAAGAAATTGGATGCAAAAAGAAGTCATAAAGAAAAAGAAAAGGCATCAAATAAAGAAACAAAAGATAAACAACACATCAGAATAAATACTCTATGCACCCGTATACTGAATAGACTAGCCTGTCGTGAGCTCTGACCTCAAACCCATCCAATACCTTTTTGATGATTTGGAGCAATGACCGTGAATATGGCCTGATTACACAACCTTTGTGCTTTGGACCTTGTTTTGGGCCTCAGAGTCACAGCTCATATGGTATGTATTGTACGTCATTGTCCTAACATGAGCACCAGTCTGTTGTGTTGATGGACCTTACAAACAAAAGTGTAATGGCATGGTCTCACTTCTTTTTTAGTGCTCTATCCGATAGTACTGATCCCCATACAAAATTACCTTTTTTCCAGATTTTGGAAAGCTCCCTGCAGAGCCTTAGAAGATATGCAACCATTTTTACAGGATGAGTCATACACTCGAATATGAGTAAACTGAACATGATATTTAAAATCAGTGATCGGTTTAGGTGCTGTACTTGAGGAAAAAAGTTAAAAAAAATGGTATTATAAACAATGAGGATGACTTTTTGGCTTGTCTGGATTTAGTTAGACACATTATAGACAAAGTCTGAAAAAACTGACAGATTGTATTTTATTTGCTACAGATAATACCAAAGATATCATGCATACACGTTACACTGTACGGCACCAGTATCAATAAAGATGCATACTTTCATTAAAGTGTAACAAACAAGCATTTTCAAGAAAGTTTAACTCTACTAAACACTGTCCTGTGACACTGCGGACATCAGCCAACACATTTCCTAAGAGACAACCTGATGTTTTCCATTAACTCACATGAGATTACCATGTTATTGACAATAAAGATCTACTGATGTAACTCCCACCTGTTGTACCGCAATGTCACAGGGACACAGAAATGCAGAGTAAACATGATGATTAAGCCGCAGGGTCATTAGTCCACTACATTCTCTATGTATCCCCAGGACATCAGTCTATTGTTGATGTCCTGCACTGGGACCAGCACTCCCCATGCAGAAGAAACATGCAACTATGTGCATCAACTCCCTGTGCACTGAGAGAAGGACAGTAACGTTAGATACTGGATGACTAAGGCTTTTGTATCAATGTTTTCTGCATTAAAAAAACTTATTCATTCTTTGTAACATGAGATAAAGTGTAGCAAAAATAGTTGACCAAAATCTATTGAATCACCACAATCATTGGATACAAAGGAGGCAAAATACATTTTAGTGAAGTACAGCTTTGGTGAACTTGAAAATACAAATTTGTGTCACTGACCAACAACAGCTATCATATTTTTGGTGTAGCGCCTTCCGATATTATGTAACGCTACTTAGTATGAACTGGTCCGCAAGGCAAGGCAAAGACAGGCAAAGCTTTATTTATGTAGCACCTTTAAAACACAGAGGCGATTCAGAGTGCTTTACCAAGGGCAACAAAAAAATATTTATATGTTTAAAGCACAATAAGAATGACAATAAAGTCATGAACTGGGATCATGTTTTTATCTGTGTATACACAGTCAACTAAAGACAAATGCACCTTTGACAGGTGACACCATTGTCTGACCCTGATCCCCGATTGAACACATCTTTAAGCTGCCTTTAAATCCTCCTCTCACCAAGCAAAGAGCAGATACTCAGTGGCTTGACCCGGCCTCATATCTACATGGTATCTGCTTAGGCTGCACCCCACAATACTTTTTCTGTTTTATAACACAATAAACATGAGGTCACTTAGTTACGTTGGATGACGTACAAAGGAGTTGTTATATAATGGCACATTGTCATTCACATTCACTGTTATGTTCATCAATTGCGTTCACGATAGTATCAGTTGTCAGGTATGTATTCCATTTAATTCAAGGATTGCAATGCTGGCTGTTGTGAATGACACATTCATTCAATTAATTGGTGCTCTTATTGTTACTATCATATTGGAAGAAAAACTCCATGAACCCATGTACATCTTCGTAGGTAATGTGTGCATTAATAGTCTTTATGGGACAGCAGCCTTTTACCCCAAATTCCTGTTTGATCTATTGTCTAACACTCATGTCATATCTTACACTGCTTGCTTGTTGCAGGTCTTTGTTGTATACTCCTATGTAGCAACCGATTTTTATAATCTAGCCCTGATGGCCTATGACCAATATGTGGCTATATGTCGAACACTGGAATATCACTCTGACTAAACATAATGCTCTTTTGATGGTGTGTTTCTCCAGACTTCTACCTTTGCTCTGTCAGACTGTTGTGACGATAATGACGTCCAAATTGGAATTATGTGTCTCCAACATAGAAAAACTTTATTGTGATAACTGGTCAATCCTTTAAACTTTCCTGCAATTCAATAACAACAAACAATATTGTTGGGTTTATCTTTATAGTTTTGTATTTTGGGCATGCTCTTTTCATTGTGTGTTCATATGTGCAGTTAGTAAAATCTGCTTTCAAGTCAAGAGAGGGAAGGATGAGTAAAGTTTACATTTACGTAACTGCTGCTTACCTTTCAGCCACTGCTCTGCTGCTCACTTTATTGTTTTTGACGGTATATTTTACGACAGATCACAGGCCATGGGGGTCTGGACAGGGGGTTGGCCAATTGTGGGGTGTACACCTGGCAGAGATCTGCACTCTACTGAGTACACCTTTCTAGTTGTTCAAGGTGGCCACTTATGGCCATTGTCAATTCAACTCACTTCAAAATATTTATTAGCAACAAACATCGCTTTGTTGGCACACACAATATATGATACACTACTGTCCCAAACAAGATACAAAACAATCTCATCAGAAAACACTCGTGATTGCAAGTTTAATAAAGCACTCCCAAATTGACCTCAAAATATCAAAATGTTTCCTGAAACTTGAGAATATTAAAAACAATTTAGGGCTCAAGATAAAGTATTCACTCCATTACTGTAAAATGGACTAATCAATATTAAAGCTAATGCTCCATACTATGTGTTTACGTTATTGTGCATTAGCAATTCTGATAAAATAAAATATTTTTTTAGTTATGAATTACATCAGTTACATTTGGAGACTCTTTTGCTTGTTTCAGTCAAGAAAATGTTTAACATTTAAATTTTTTTTTTCTGAGATGCTAGCCAATGAAACGTCTGCAGTAGAGGGAGGGCCCTTTTAATATTCAACAATAAAGTTCATAAACACTCTGCAACACTGAGACATTTGGACATGTCTCATATGTTTATCATGTCAATATTTAACATACACAGAGCATATCCCTTGCTAACAATGAATGTTTTTTTTACAGCATTGAATCCCGTCTTCTAATTACCGTTTATAACTTTGACAGTTTGGGTTTTGGAGCATTACTGCAAAATGACTAATACATCTAAAATCGTTCTTTTTTCACTGTCTGGCTTCAGCACCACTGCCAACTACAAGATCACACTTTTCTCTCTCACTTTACTTTGTTATTGTCTAATTGTGGTGGTAAACGTGTCTCTCATTTTAACTATAATATTGGATCAAAACTTACATGAACCCATGTATGTTTTTATATGTTCTTTGTGCATCAATGGACTTTATGGGTCTATAGGCTTTTATCCTAAATTTGTCTTTGATCTTCTGTCAAAAATCCAAGTAATATCATATGAAGGATGCCTTTTGCAAGCGTTTGTTATATACTCCAATGCATTAATTGACTACTCTATTCTAGTTCTCATGGCTTATGACAGATATGTGGCTATATGTCGACCCCTGGAGTATCACTCTGTAATGTCTGTGAGAAGGATTGCAGTTTTAATTGTTTTGTCCTGGCTTGTACCCTTGTGCTGTGAAGCCATGGTTATAACTTTGACATCTACACTGAAATTATGTGGCTCCAAAATAGATAAACTTTACTGTGACAATTGGTCAATTGTTAAACTTGCCTGTGGCTCAACGAGAGCAAACAACATTGTCGGATTGATTATTATTGCTTTCTATTGTGTGCATTTCCTCTTCATTTTGTGGTCTTATGTGCGGTTGATAAGATCAGCTTTAAAATCCAGAGAGGGCAAGAGAAAGTTTACACAGACATGTTTGCCACATTTGTTTTGTTTGCTTAATGTTTCTGTTGCTTTGCTGTTTGATGCTATGTACTCTAGGTATGGATCAGCATCTTTGCCACAGAGTGTAAAGAACTTCATGGGCATACAATTTCTCATAATTCCACCAATTTTAAACCCTATTATTTATGGACTGATCCTAACTAAAATACGAAACAAAATAATATATTTGTGTGTGATGACAGGTCAAAGATTTAAATTGAGAGTCAAGGTTTGATATATGTAAGCATTCCAAAAGCACTTTATTTGGCTCCACGCGTGGTTGTTTTGTTCAGTTGTTTTTCCTGTTGTACCTTTTCTCTGACAGGTTGTCTTTTATGTCAATGACCTCCAAGAAGTGTGGAGAACGCTATGTGAAAATTGTTTGAAAATGATATCTTTTATTTTTGGTATGACTGTTTAATTATGTGTTATAGTTTTGAAGGTAATATTACTAAATCGTTTTTCAAATATTCAAAAAAGACCTTTTCATTTTGTGTTCACACACATGTGTAGTTGATCACATCTGGTTTGGAGTCAATAGAGGGAAAGGGGGAGTGTTACACAGACACGTGTGCCACATTTATCATGGTGTTTAATGTCACAGCTGTTTTGCTTTTTAAATGAATCGATAAACTAGAATAGTTGAATGGGTTTGAGTTTGCTTTGTTACATTAAAATATCTACTGTATTGTATGAGGATCACAAATGCAGGGCTCAACTCTGTTACTGTATTTACGGGAAGTATTGCACAAGCATTTCAGTTGTTTATGGACAACAAACATGATAAAGGGTTATAGTTTAAAACAAAGGTTTAGTGCTTTAAATATATACATAACAGTGCATTATATCATCAAAAGAGAAAAAATATATTTTTAATGATTAGAGAACAACGTTTTACGATTACATGACCCCTCTGTGTTTCAGCTTCCACTATTTGAAGCTTACATGATGCTGAAAATAAGAAAAGAATGGAAAAAATAAATCACATTGTGACATAATTATGTATGCTAAAGTCTAATCTAATGCAGACCATAGTTCCTTAAAAACTCAAGGACATCTTTGACTAATCATTCATCAGAAAATAGGACCATGTTGAAAAGTACATGTTGAAAAGTATGTTAAAGTACAGTTTTACAGCGCTGCCTATGAAACAATCATGTGAAAAAGCATAGTGTCATAGTGCAATTAAATTATTATGTCAACTGGCCCTAGTTTCTGGCTGGTGGACGAAAGCAATATCTACACCTTTGTTGAAATTAGCAAGCTACACTATACTTCTAGTAGCGTAACATATTGACGATATTTCACATCAAGAAACATCTATACAATCTATCAATACAATAAAAACAGGAGGGAAAATTAACACCCACTCTAGTGAGGTGCTGCTTTGCAGGCAGACATAAAAAAGCCACACACTCATAATTCTTAAGAAGTATTAAAATAAACAAATATAATAGGCAAATGCATGTAATTACTTTTCTTATATAGTTCATCACACCCCAAAGCAAATTAATCTGGTTGTCAGAGTCGGATCTCTGGTTCCATACACTTTAATGATTTGCATGAAATTACATTAAACTCAATTAAAAGTTCAAAATTTTGTAGATTTGCACCTGTCCGTCTCTCTATCTCTATCTCTATCTCTCTGTCAAGTCGTTGAATCATTAGATTGATTTCAGTGTGTATATGTGTTTTTGACCCATCTTATAGCGACATAAATCTGTGCACACAGTCACATTGTGGGGCCTTGCCTTCCTTATGTGGAGAAAACGCACGTCCACATAAGATAAATCACAACATTTTAGGCTGAAGACTTATTTTCGGGTAAGTCTCCAGAAAATGAATGCAATTCAACGTAGTGTGCCCACAAGTAATGAAAACATGACTGTGTGTGTGTGTTAAATGACATGCAACTATTTCCTAAGGTGGCTTCCTTGTCGACAGAGGGGAGCAGAGAGCAGGACTGTCACCCTGTTGACCAGCTATCTGGCACCAGGCAAGTCCTTCGGGACAGGTCAGTCACCGGTCCTGCTCCATAACATCAAACCGGCTTGCTAGCTTGAATCACAGGACAAGGAGTTGGAGAATCTGTGGTGGAGCAATAGACTGGAAGACAATCTACAATCATTTCTGAGCTTTTTTACAATAAAGCGATGTAGCTGCCCCACTTCTGGAAATATTTTATGATTTTGAAAATTGCTCTGACAAGAGAAAGTCCTCTGGAAAATTAAAAATTAGTGTCAATGCACCCAATACTGATAACATGCAAAAAAGACAGCTTTGGTGATGGAAGAGGAATTTTTTCACTTCTTTCACTCACTGTTTTTTGTTTTAATATGAGCCTTGGCAATGGAAGAACTGCATTGTTCACCGCAAAATAGAGGACATCCTAATCATATAATATGTCTGATATAATAATGTCAGGGATTACAGCCCTGTGGTGATAACTGCGCATGCCATGAAGGCCTTTGAGAGACCTGTTTTTCAGCACCTGAGTACTCTGGTAACTGATTTTCTAGACCTCCTGCAGTTTGTATACCCAATTGTATACCACAATCTGAACTAATAAACTCAGAGACTGATCTCAGGAACCTGTAGGTTACTTAATGGTTGAATTTTTATTTATCATTCACTATCTAGGGCCCCACCTCAGCCGGGGCGAGCCTTCGTCGGTTGTTTGGAGCGTTGGGGAATGGTTGGTGGAGGTTAGCCTGGATGAAAGCGGTATGTGGAAAGGCTTGGTTGAGGATCCACTGCGGCTCCTGGGCCTTGCAGACCCCCAGGTCTCCATGTGGGACAGGAGGATGATGACTATGGGGGAAGATAACCTTGAGTGAAATGGTTTAACAAGAGGGAGGGAGGGATGTGGTAGGCGCGAGCAAGCCGGGGGTTTAGAGTGGGTAGGTATTTATAGGAGTGTGGCCGGAAGTGGGGGAGTAAAGTTTGACTTCCTTTTGATGATATTTAACACAAGAATGCCACCAATGATTTGCTGCTCGTAGATCTAAACAGTTGTAGTCTGTGTTTCTTCGATGAAGCTGTGAAATGTACAGAATGCCAGCTAAGTTTTATCTCCAATTCACTATCTAGGGCCCCACCTCAGCCGGGGCGAGCCTTCGCCGGTTGTTTGGAGCATTGGGGAATGGTTGGTGGAGGTTAGCCTGGATGAAAGCGGTTTGGGGAAAGGCTTGGTTGAGGATCCACTGCAGCTCCCGGGCCTTGCAGACCCCCAAAGAAGCCCTCCTAAGGAAGCAGAGCTGCATGCCCGTTGCGCAGGTCATTGAAGGTGTGGCAAGTGTAAAGTTGGTAGATGTGGGAGGAAAGGTTATCGACGGTGGAGTTCTGCTGATCGATGGTCGGCAAAATCAATTAAGGATTAATGGGTTTAAATACGGCATTGGATGTGTCGGAACCGATGTCAGACGGGTGTCTGCAGGAGGGCGGATCTTCTGAACTTCTGGGATGAGAAATGAGAAAGCCACGGCGTTGTGGTGGCCGGACGTGGGCTGCATCGAGAACGCACCCTTGACGGATGGGTGTCCCAGCGTCCTTTGGTGATTGGGTAAATGACCGCTAGGTTGTCAGGAGTTAAGAGATGGACTCACTGGGTCGATCGCGGTCCCACGTAATGGCTGCGGCTACTATTGGTCAGATTTGGTAGCATGAAGGAAAAGCGACTTGGCATTTGCTTGTGAGGTCCGAGGGCTGATCTATGGCAAAACGTCTTCTATCATGGAAATCCCCCCAAAACGGCAGGGGGAGCAGCATCATTGTGTGGACCAATTGTGTGGGTCTGTCGCTGGAAGTAGATGGCGTGGGGGCACTGGTATCCCGGTGCCAGGTGTCCTGGCTACGCCAACTTGCTGTGGCTGCTGGAAGTAAGCAGCGGGGGGTGTACTTGCGTCACTGCCAGGTGCCTTGGCTAAGGCAACTTGCTGTGGTTGCTGTAAGTAGCAGGCGGTGGGCACTGGCATCCCGGTGTCAGCTGTCCCGGCTATGGCAACTTGCTGTGGTTGCTGGAAGCAGGCGGGGGGTTGTGCTGGCGTCGCTGCTGGGTGTCCCGGCTAAGGCGACTTGAATGTGGTTGCTGGGAGTAGGAGGCGGGCGGGGGGCGCTGGAGTCCCAGTGATGGGTGCCCAGGCTAGCAACATGCTGTGGCTGCTGGAAGTAGGCGGCCGGAGGGCACTGTCGTCTTAATGCCAGGTGCCCGACCCGGGTTCTCCTGCTAAGGTTGGTTGATGTGATTGCTGGAGGTGAAGAGCTTGGGGCACTGGCGTTCCGGTGCCAGGTGCCCTGGCTGGAGAGAGCTGCTGTAGTAGGCAGCGGACGTTCAGGTGCTCCTGCCAGGTTTGGCTGATGTGACTACTTGGAATGGAAAACTGGGCTCGTGGGCATCCCGGTGCCGGATTCCCGTCTCACTCGCTGCTACCGTGGAGCAGTCGCTAGGAGCATGGGAAGCTGTATGACCGATGAATGAGCAGGAACAGTTCTCTTGAGTGAGTGTTAAGGGTTTAAAGCTTGTAATCTACGACGAGTGTTGTAGACGGCTTGGTAGCTATGCTCGTTAAACGTGGCTGAATGGACGGTTCTCAATTTGTCTGGGGATGTCCCCAGATGCTCCGGGCGCCATATGTTTCTGTATCGTCGTGTCGGCTTACGTCGCCATGCTGCGTACATTATATTTATGCGTGTATGCGTTATGTAGCAGCAAAGGCACGAATTGGATAAGCAAACGATTGGATTCGAGTCAGGTCGAGACGAACAGCACGGTAGATTAATGGTTCCATTTTGGTTTGGATGGCGTTTTGATTTTTGGTGAGTTAATGGGCTTCGAGTTGAAATGTGGTAACGTGGGAGCTGCGACAACCTGTTGTATATCATTGTGCGGAGGATTTAACTACGCTTGGTGGTATTACTTACTGTGATGGCACTTAATGAACGAGCAAGGACGAATTCAATCGAACGTGAGTCGAGACATGTCATTTTGGCTCCTTGGAATTTATGAGGTCAAAGTTGCAATTGAGGAAGTGTCGTATATTATGCTTGGAGCATTAGCACGGTGCGTTGGTAGTGTTATGTAGTGCGGCGATGGCTCTGATTTAACGAGCGAGAACGGATTGAGACGAACTTGAGTCGAGGCAGATGGCATGGCGGGTTAATAGTGCGTTTACGCGCTCTGCGGATGATCCCGTTTTTGTCATTTTGACTCTGATGAAATTATGAGATTAAGTTGTA